AGGATTCTAAAAATCATAGCAGTGGTCATAGATCACTTTTTAGTCTTTGTTTTTAGCCAGTGGCCCATGAAGAGTATTTAACCTTTAATTGTACTGTCTGGACTGCTTGAGTTGGTTTTTCTGTGTGTTAATTTTGTATATCTCTAGACAGAATATGATTTTGTAGATTACTGTACCTCTCTTGCATGCTGTTGCCACCTCTGGCTATTTCCTTCCTAAGCACTGTGTGTGTGTGTGTGTGTGTGTGTGTGTGTGTGTGTGTACACTAAAGCCATTCAGGATGATGGCAGGGCCCTAATTTCAGCATGTAGGTAAGCAGGTGTTCTGATTTACAAGGAGTGACCTTGCCTCCGCCCTTCTGGTCTCTGCCTTGCCAGAGAAGTGTTCTGTTATGGGTGGGTAGAATGGCCCCCAGAGAGAAACAGGTACAGGAACAGATGAAGGCTAGAGAATGGTGTCTCAGACTTCTTCTATGTTTAGTTACCATTGCAGTACTGCTAAGTGAGGTAGGGTGATTTCTTTCCTAGACAACTCCATCAGACCTTGTAGCTCGAAGTTTACTTGAAGCCATTTAATTGAGGAGGGGGATCCTATTACTCACACTGAGAGCAGAGCCCTAGCAGCCCAAGGATTTCATGGGCTGCTGCCAAGACATGCAGGTGACTTTCAGGCCTGGTGCCAGAAAGCTAGAGCCTTCTAGAAAGCTAGAGCCTTCCAGACTTTAACAAATCACCCAGTTATTCCAAACTAGTGAAGAATCATCACCTTGTTGCAGAAAAGGGACATTGCTCAGCTGACTATGGGAATTCTGCTTTTGTGGAATGCTGAGGCCTGAGTGGAGTTGGATGGACAAAGGGTCTGAATGCTAAAACTACTTTTCTTTCCCTCTTCTGTAGCTTAGTGTTTAAATCACCATTCAGTGGTTCTTATCTACCAGAAACCAGGGTTTGCAGTCCAAGAGTGGAACCCTAGACCTTACCTTTTCCTTCACTGGTAGTTTTCCCTTGTCAGGCATAGCACCTCCCCTGGGCCTGGGCAGCATTTCATTTGCTGGGTAGGAAGAAAGGCATTAGCTTCATGCCATGCTGAGAACCAAAAGAAATAGGTGTTTTCTAAATTAAAGCAAACAGGGCTAGCCTTGGAGAAAGCTTTCTAGAGCTGAAATAGGACAAATGGGGGTGGCAGCAGAGGGAGTAGGTGGAGAGTTGCCAAAAGGAGGTAACAGCACAGGCTGGGAATTCTGGGAGGAAGGGTGTGCCCTGTATCCCTGCAGGATATCTCTTAACATAGAGGAAGGGGGACTGAGGATACTAGCAATAGGAAGTTGCTAAGAAAAATTTGGCTGAAATGATAATCAGAAAAGCTGAGTATTATCATATGCAAATCTCATCTGTTCCCTTCATTTACAGGGTTTTGACTCTTGTTAATAACTTCCATCTAATATATTTACGACCTACCATCTAGTTCATAAGGCCCTAATTTTGGCAACCAGTGTCACTGTCACTCGGGAACTCAGTGTACAAATTTGCCTGCAACTCCTCTATAGCTGAGACCTTGGAGAAGCCCAGGGAGGGTGCTGAGCCTTCTGTTTCTCCTCTGGCTGGCCCAGGTTCTTAGAAGCTAAGCCTGTCAATGTCATTGGTAGGCTTCATTGCCATCATCTTCCCTATTGCTGGGGAGGACAGAGGCACCAGTGGGCAATAGAGCAAAAGCAGGTTCTAGACTACCTGACCCCTTGCAGTACCAACACCATGCGCCCTCATCTTTAAGCAGGTGTAGCATATATTACAGGGAGTCTCTTTCACTCCCATCCAGATTGCCTGGGCTAAATACCCTTCCCCAATCTAGCTAAGAGTTCTCTTTGGAGATTAGAGTCTAGCTGTACAGACCAAGCAGTGGCAGTGGGCAGAAGGACAGGAATACAGACATTAGTCCATCTGTTCCTATGACTACAGTTTTTTGTGCAGACATCAGAATAATACCTGCTTCATTGGACTCTTGGAACAACTACGTACTGTGACTCTGGATGTTTACATTATATTTGCTCTATTACCAGATAGCAGCCATAAAAAGAGATAAGCTTACATCTGGGGAGGCCAAAAAAGAGTTGCTGGGGAACCAGAAACATACATCTCTATTCTTTCTTCCATGAGATCCTCTTTCTTTGGGTTGTGACATCAGAGGAAACACACAGCAAAGAGGCAGTCCAATTTGAAACATAGTTTGTAAATCTTATTTTCAGATAAATTTTAAAAATATACCTCATTTTGTGTTAGAGAATTATCTATATAATACAATAAGATACCAGCTTTTAAAAATATTCTGCGTTAAATCAAATTGCCAGCCTATGGGGTCATGGGATGGAAAGGATGAACATGTGCTCTTTTTGAATAATACTCGTGGAAGAGTTGTCCTGACACAGGTGCCACACTTGTGTTCAGTGGTTAACATCTCATAGGTCACTGTCCTGAAGGAGTGACATAATATATGACACTATGCATCTTGGGAAATACTACATAAATTCAAGTCATTACAATTGTACATGTGTAGAATGGACATGGTTCTTTTATTTCATTGTGTATAATAATTTATAATGACTAATGTGAAGTCATACAGGGAACAAGCTTTGCATTGGTCTTGTCTGCTCAAAATGTTGACTGTGACTCTGATGCTGCTTTGCACAACATTGTACAGCTGTCCTCTGCCTCTGACAGGCACGATGATTCTCAGAACTAAGGCTGGACCTTCTGACTGCACTTCTCTGCTTTCTTCAGTGAGATCCTCTTCTTCTGGAAGCTGGTTTCACATGGTGGCTTAGATTTTTCCATCTTTGTATCTAGCACCATTTGAAATCAGTGTTTTAGGAGTAAGAATTGCAGCACAGCAGAGGTTAGGCTACAGAGAAGCAGCTGTACACAGGATTGGCTCTCTCCTTCAAGAAGTCAAAGGAAGACTTGGAACAGTGAAATTTGCTCATGAGTCTCTTTGGTTTAGAGGCAGTGATAATGGGCAAGTTGTTGTGTTCAAAATAAATGCGAGGGCATGATCAGGGGCAGGGAGTGATCCACTTTATCCAGCATTCCATGGGAGGGGGAGGGTGGCTTGGTCCTGGTCCTGTAATTTTCATCATCGTCCAATGATGTTCTGGGTGTTGATTGTAGCAGGAAAGGGAGAGTGCTCCGTACATGGAGAACTGCTTCACCCACATCAATACTGCCTGCCTGTACCTGGAAGATGCCTGGAGTACTTAGCCATGGTTGCAACACAGCTGAAATGAGACTTGTCACTTGTCTGCCTTGAGGTTCAGACCTGAAGACCACCACTGGCCCATCTCTTACACAGGCTGACCGATTTCTCCTGGTGTTCAGAGTCTGTTTTTGTCTAGCACCATTTGAAATCGGTTATGATGTAGGGGGAAAAGCACCAGTCTCAGAGCCTCGTGATGTCAGCAGCAGCCTGTCGTTTCCTACACAGGCAGAGCAGAGAAGGAAGATCGAAGTTTCCTAACTTCTTTAGTGTATATGTATGTGGTGGCAGAAGTTAGAGATAACTTAATGGAGTATCAAAATTAAATTGTTGTAATTTATGATATCCTCAGTTGCGCTTTCTGACATGTGGTACATGTTAATTGTATAAACTGGTTACTGTTGAACCGTCTTTCTGTCAAGAGTATGTTCATGCATCCTGGCTTTAATAAATAATTTGCTATATTCAGTTTATCATGTCTGTGTTTTTATTTGTTATTTTCCATTCATAATTCTATGGCAATGAGAAGTGGGCTCTGGAAAGTTAATTTGCTATGCCAATTATAAAGAATTGGAAGTAGGTTGCTATAGACAAACATTAAAAATGAAGGTCATTAAGACAGGAATGAAATTCTAAAGATGAAAGATTATCAGAGACAGAAGGTTGGAGCTCTAGGCTGGGGGATGTTACTAAATAAGTAGACTATTCATGGTTCCAAGGGAACAGTGGACTCTGACCCTCCTCCTGTCAGTGTTGCTGCAGGGAACTTACTTAACCAAACTGTCATGCGGCCCTTAAAGGGGAGCAGGCTAATTTCAGTTCCATTTGTAGCAGATGGAGTTCTACTTTCAGCTGATAGTTTATTTCAACCCTTGAATAGGCGGTGAGACAATTTTGTAAAACTGTTCAGAGATTTGACAGCATTGGGGTGGTGGGCAGGGTTCATACTTGGAGAACCTTCAGGAAGAAAGCAGGTGGCCCCTTCCATAGAAGTTGCATAGCTAACTATGAACTATCTGCAGTATAATCATTTCAATATCATTTCAAGCCAGTGGGTTTCAATAACTGATGGCAAATCAGCTGCCCAGGAAGCTTTTTCTGAGCCCACATCCCAGTAGTCTTACCCCAGATGGCTGCCTTGCCTATTGTGCTGGAAGTGGGAGGTGAATGGAGCATTTGCTGGAAAGACTTCTCAGTGACTATGATACATCCTGCAGCTGCAGAGCTATTTCAAGCTTTTGATTGAAGAATACATGTTCTAAGTCTCAGGATGTGGTAGTGGGAATGGCAAAGTCCCTCAGCTGTATTGTTTAATTTGCCCCACTAAAGTAGGAGACTGCAGCTCCTCTAAGTATGACAGTTTGAGTCTGTGGTATTAATTACACATTAAGCCTTTTTTTTCTTTTAAACTTAGCTACCCTGTCCAATGCTCCCAATTAATTATATTGGAAAATATAATTAAAATACCCCCAGGTCGTGATTCTAGTTCTTAAATGAGTTAAATGCTAGAAGTTTAATATCAAAGCACAAAAACAATGATACAAGATTTCTTTCCATAACAGAAAATTATGACATCCTTATTGAATGCTTAAACAGTTCCATATCCTGAAGTTCTGAGAAGCAAAATGGAACCATAACACCTCTCAAACAGTTTTTTTTTTTTAAATCTGGATGCTTAGAGCCCTTTATATAAAATTGCCACATGCAATTACCAGTCATAATTGATTGGTAATGCAGATTTTTTTTTTTTTTGGCAATACCCTCCTGAGTCAGGCTTATGAAACCATGCTGTCAACCCAGGTAGAAGGTCTTTTGTTGAAACATTATTAACTTAAGCCTTACTAGACTTTTTAGAAGTGAATATAATGCACTTTTGTTAACTGGAGGAAGAAAGATCTACAGTCAGTTTAGTAGATCAAATGAATTAAGTCTGGACCCTAGCATCTCTAAGAAGTTGGTCCAGACCTTCTATTTGGAAGATGGTATATAGTCTCAGGAGTAGCTAGCACACTGATATGTCCATACTTTTTAGGGAAGCCTAAGGTAGTCCCTTTAATATGTTATATCTGGGGCACATTCTAACCCAGTAGTACCTTGCCACAGCTTTGGTCACCAATAAGGAAGTACTATTTTAACTGGTCTCAGAATGGGGCTCAGATCAGTCTAGTGTACAGTCAGGACTGAGAACCATTTTCCTATTTCTGAAAAGCCCATACTATTTTGGTCATAGTTCTTTGCTTCCTTCCAGTTATTGTGTTGGTGCATAAATTTCCTATAACTGCTCTAACAAATTAGCACAAATGTGATGCCTTAACACACACATTCTTAACAGTTCTGGATAGCAGGAATCTGACATTTTTATTGGACTGAAATCAAGGTGCTGTCAGACACAAACCCTTCAGAAATATGAAGGAAAAAGAGGTTTCTTGCCTTTCTTTGTCTATAAACAGGCTATATTCTTTGGCTTGTCCTCTTCAAGCTTCACTGATCACACTGTCTTCTCTGATTAGTGTTCACCTTTTAATAAGATCACGATGTGATTAACCTGTACATCAGAATTTGAGAAGCATATTGCTGTGGGAACCTACAGAAGGAACTCGTCGTGTTTGAAGCTCACCTCAAGTTTAGATTTAATATTTTTTGAGGAGATGTTGCAGGTGGAGGTAGGTAAGCAGATGACCTGATTTTTCCAAGCACCATACTTATTGTGTTCACCTAAGCATTAGATGTTCCTTGAATTCCCAGTGAAGCCACAAATGCCAAACACCAGGACACCAGAACTCCTGTTTCTAGTGGTTCAACACAGGGTTTAGCATTGCGTTGTACAACAGTATTCATAGCTAAAATTTTGTCTGCTTATTCCTCACATCACTCTTACTACCTGTCTCAAGTTTTACTGATTTTGTCCAGTCATGTCAGGAATCTAGGTGGGTAGTTTTCCAGCATTGTGTGGCAGTGTATTCACTTGCTGTATGTAAGCAAGCAAAAAGGGAAATTGTGCACTCACCTCTGTTCCCCCAGTATTATATTTTCTCCATATTAAGAAGTAAGGAACAAAGAAATTGTTACTTTCCCAAAAGCAGAAGAGAGCTAGTGTTCTACCTGACATAAAATAAAATTAATGGCTCTGAAGTTCCAGCAATGACAACCTCACAGGGAAGGGGCAGAGGACTGTCAAATACTCCAGTCTATAGGATGGCGGCAGTGCTATGTCTCAAAGGTTGACAGCTCATCTAGGATAAACCCTGGATGAGCCTAGAGATCCAAAACATAGGAGAAAACACTCATGTATCAGATTCACTCAATTCTGAATCAGTTCTAAAAATTAATAGGCTGTTAAATTCTGCTCTTAAGTAGGCAAATTGTTAAAATATGCAAAATCTAGTCTTGGTTAAAATGTTAGCTATCTGGTATCACAAGCTTTAGAACACTGTAGAACTGCTCATTTCCCTAAAACCTTAAAATTACTTTAAAGTGAAAATTCAATTTTGCCTCCAAGCCTTTCTAGCATAATTTAGACAATTTATTGTTGGTTACTGTAAAAGTTCTCTCTGTATTTTATGCCAATTAAAAATATACTAGTCTCATACTAATTGTCTAAAATGCTTTAGTCAATGTAATTTCCATTCTGTGTTGATATTCACTAATATTACTATTATATTTTAAAACTTTATCATTGCTTATTTTGACAGACATTAAGATTTCTAGGCAAACAAGGTTATGTTAATAATCTGTTAATGACTTTTCCCCCAGTGCCAAGAATTGAATCTAGGGTCTTGTGCATGCTGAGCAACCTTTCTGCTAAACTACATCCCCAACCCATGAACAACATTAAATTCAAGTCTTTGAAAATTTTTTAATGAGCAGAATTAAACTGTGATTTTTTTTAAGTTTTTACCCTCTTTATAAGTTTATATGGAGAGTTGACTGTCAGGCCTGAGAATCACTAATGCAGGTTCTCAGCCTCAGCTGGCAGATTAAAATCATCGGAGAAATCAAAACCGCCTGTGTTCAGGTCACACCTCAAGTTAATAATATGAGTGCCCACTAGGGTGGTTCTTAGTGTCAATAAAAACTCCCTGGGGAAGGCTAGTGGACAGCCTCAGGTGAGAAACATTGGCTTGGCTCTACTTAGTCTGGCTTACTTCACATCTGCAAAGGCAGCAAGAACTCTTTTTGCATAAAGAAAACCAAATCCTATTAGTTACACAGGTCAAGTTTTTACTTTAATTGGTAGACTTTATTTTTTGAGTCCTATGAATGCATTAAAGTGATATGAAAGTTACATCTCCAATTAGACACATATATAGAGTCTTAATGTGGCTAACCTAAGGCTAAGCAATAAAAGATTAAGAGCCTGAGGAGTCAGAGCTTCACAGGACAGGTAGGACATGCATTGGCCTTGGAGATACAAGGATCTGGAGAGGATGTTAAGCATTTTAGGTAACGAGATTGAGAGTGTGGAAGACACAGATGTGTGCTTACTGCACAACCATTATGTGCAGTGAAAATGTGAGGCATAGGGAGAAGAATTGGAATTATAGAAGGTCTGATGTCATGCTTGGAAATACGGCCTTCTTCCTGCAGGTAACATGTCACTGAACATTTTGCTCAGGACACAGGCACTCAGGGCTCAGAGTTGAAACCTTGGTAAGCTGGAGGGTCTGAGATGTGAGGAGATGGTAAAAAGGTTAGACACAGATCGCAGTTAGAAACAGAATATTTACACTACACACACCTACACACACACACACACACACTACCACAAATGAAGCTCCTGCAAATATATAATTTTACTTTTGCCAGACTTGAAGAGCCAGTTTTCAAAAATGGAACAGTAATGACTTCCACACATGGGACTTCTCATTTTGCTTCAGATACAGCTCTGTAGTTAAAAGAACATTTTAAGTTCAAATATGCCTCTTTCTCTATCATTTAGACAATCTTAAAAACAAAAAACACTTTCCCTCATACATTTGTATAACTGACAAATTATTTGGTAAAAATAAAAATATAGATTTATACATCTTAAATATAAGTACTAATTTGAAGGTTAAATTTGAAGCAGAACATGCTATTGATTAAAAATATTTTAAATTAAGTTTAAAAACAGTAAAGCCATTTCTTGTTTTTAAACAATTAGTAAATTATTTTTTTAACCTATCTTTTTGTTTGTTTTTTAAATGCTGAGATTATAAGTATACCACGAGGCCTAGGTACAATTGCTACACTTTTTAAAAGTTTGTGAAAATGAGTACAGACTTCAATTTTTCTTAATTCAGAGTTTCTGGGCAGTTTGTTTTTCTGTTCAAACATTATCTTTCCAAAGTATCCACTGGGGGGCACAAAGGGAGAGGGGTCACTCAGAGTGACTGCAGGTGTTTATACTCAAAACAGGATTCACCTTTATCCAGTCTTCCCAACACGATGCTTCTTTGGCCATTCTATGCTACTGAATGTAAAGTTTAAAACACACCTTAGAAAGGACAGCTAATCAGGAGTGGCAGTTTCTTCTCTCAGCACTAGTTCCTCAGCCACTGGGTTGGAGCCTGGTGGAGGCCAAGCTCTGTCCTACTGCTTGAGTGTGACCTGCTAACAGGGCTCCTTCAGTACAGCTGACAGCAGGTGTACCTTCAGTAGAGTAGTTAAGAAAAAGGCTTCCCCTGGCAAAGGCTATGTGCAGTGCCTGTTTTCCACACTCTTGAAGTTATCTGATGAATGTATTCTTTACAAACAGCTTAGGTGGCTTGTTTAAAGACGTGTGTTTAATGAAAGAAAGTCATGAATAGCCAGAACTTCAGAGTGAGTGACTCAACAAAAAGGCTACAGTGTTCACTTTGTAGATTCTTGTTATGGGTGTCACAGCCATATAGCCTTTTACAGAAGCATGCAACTAGCTGTGAAATCTTAGTAGTGTTTCTTTGGCTGGTTTATTGATGTTCAAAAAAGTTAAATGCCAGACATCAAACTTCTAATTTATTTAAATCATTGAAGTTGTCAGAAAAGTAGGATTTTACTCTACTAACATTTACATAGTTCTGCTATTAATATTCTCAGTTAAGGATTTCTAAATTGTTTATATTCCCAATTTTTAGTGTTCTGGTTTTAATGGATCAGAGCTGAAGGGGTATGTGCATTCATGAAGGCTTTTTGTAATGAACCATATAGAAAATATATTTTTAGAATTGTCAAAAAGAGAAATCTTAAAAATTAACATTTAAAAGACTTCAAAATCACCTTCTTTTTAAAACAAATAAAATGTAACTTTTAAAGACAAGGTTTTGCTTTAAAATGTAGCCAGGCTAACTTCAAACTCACCATTCTCCTACCTCTGGACTATAGGTGTGTGCCACCATGTTAGCTGAAATGTAATTTCATTATAAATTATATTTCTCTGAGTTACACATTATTATGAAATTAATAATTTCCCAATCTCAAGTGAGTCAGGATATGGTATTGACATGCTTTTAAATACAAATGATAGTTAAAGGAAACCAAACACATTTTCTATACAACATTCATACACATTTTAAAGTGTATGAATTACACATTAAATTGTGAGCACTGTGACCCAATAATTGCATGCATGACAGTGGAAACAGTGACTTACAGATTAGAACCAACAGATACGTTGCTTCTTGAGCTTTGTGGCAATGATGCAGTTTTCTCTGTTTGTGAGGTTGACCTTTTCAGGGAAGTGGTAGACTTAGCTTTAACCCCAGTTTTCCTACAAGACAAGGTATAAGGGCAGCATCAAAACAAATATAACTACATGCAGAAATTAAGTTCCAGAAACCTACTTTGAAAATAGGCATTTTTTTTTCTTGTGGTGTTGGGAATGGAATCCAGTTCCTAATACATACTAGGTAAGTACTCTACTACTGAGCTATATTTTCCCAGCCCCAAGGTAGACAATTAAAAAAAAATACTTTTATTGTATTGAGTCTGTTCATGTCTCACCCTAAAAAAACGAAACAAACAAAAACTCTTCTATTCTTGTGTTTTTGATCCCCTCTAAAACAAGTAAAGCTGCTATGTACATAGTACTTAGTAAACGTTTCCTTTGTTTTGATTTAGGACCATGGGAAAGATGAGGGAGGCATGCAGGCTTGTCTAGTCTCAGAGTTTTTCATCTGATGAAGTCTGAGAGAAACTGTGATTCTAAAAGTCCATACTGTGGCCACTCACTTTTGAGTAGAGAAAGCTGCACTCTAGGCCTTGCCTTAGGAAACTGACTGCAATAATTTAACCCAAAACTTAGAGCAACCAGTTATTTACCAGTGTGCATGCATTCTTTAGGGATGACCACACAGTGCAAAAGCCAGCAATGATTACCTGTTCCTGTCTGTGAGCTAGGCTGTCATTATGATCCTGTCACTAGACTCATAACAGCAGTTTCTTAAGACTGCTATAGTAAGTGACTTAATAGTTTAGCTTATCACTGAATTATCTTAAGAGTGCTATATTTTTCTGTTGTCAATTTTATTTAGTGGAATCTTTTTTCTTTAATATTTAAAAAGAAATCCAACACTCAGAAAAGGTTAAAAAAAAAAAAAAGCAATGATCTTGCATAAATCTAGAGTTTGGGTCCTAGCCTCCATATCGGGTAGCTCATAACCACCTGTAACTTCAGCTCCAGGGGATCCAAGGCCTCTGGCTTCCATAGGCACCTGTATTCACATGCACATAATCCTCAGACTCATAAAAATAAATCTTTCTTTAAAAGCAAAGATAAGTTTGGAATTGCATTTTAAAAGCTATTTTAATGAGGAAAAATTGAAACTGAATTTCTAATCGGTTTTTAAAATTAACTTTAGCAGTCACTGAATTATCTCTAAATGTTTACCCACACTTTCAAGCTCAGTTCTAAACACTGCTTTCCGAGTTAGCTTTCCTCAGCTGTCCCAGGAGACTAGAAAGTATAACTGTCATGACGGGACAGACCAGAGGCCTCTCCTAGTTGGCACATTTTGTCTTTCCTCTACCTTGTGATCAGAGACACCAACTTTGTTCATGAAACAAGCCTTCCCATGAGCCTCTGTGGGTCTTGTTCCCAAGATTTCATGGACTAGGCAAAGGTGTTATAGGATCTGCCCTAACTCCTAGCCATGTAGATATACATTGTAGCACAAATAGAGGAACAGTTTTTTTTTTTCTTTAGTTTTTAGGCAGCCTTACTAGGTGGTCCTGGCTGCCCTTCATCTCTGGAATCTTCTGCCTCACCTTCCTGTATCCTGGTATTATGGGTGTGTACCACCATAACACTTAATTCATTTAAATCCAAAGATAAACTGGTGGATGGAGTCAGAAATCTTAAGGTAAAACAACTATAATTTTTTTGGGAGGAGGGATTCTAGACATTTCGAGATGGTTTCTCCATGTGTCCCTGGCTGTTCTGGAACTTGCTCTATAAACCAGGCTGGCCTCGAATTCAGAGATCCACCTGTCTCTGCCTCCCCAGTGCTAGAATTAAAGGTGTGCACCACCACTGCCTGACACAAGTATAATTTTTCAAAAACTGAGGCTACATTGTTTTTCTATAATATGCCAAATATATTTTGGTTCAGAGAAACAGGTAAATACCTTTATGGAATTAGTTTTAAGTTGGAGTTGTGTACATTTGTAAAATGTAAACTGTATTTTGGTTTCTATAAAGGGGCATTTTCTTCCCCTGCTTGCACTTGAAATGAACTGGTTCTGTTGACTGTTTCCCTTCAGGCTCAAAAAACACTTTTATGTCTAGGTTTATAGCTGTTTCAGTAGAGACAGTTGGACTACTAGGAGGGTACTGGGTCATAACTGTTTAAGACTACTTCACAACAGAGTCCTGTCTGTGTTAAATTTGGAAAAAGAATATAAGAAAACATCAATAATTTGGTGAAGAGAACAGGAATCTAAGCTTCCTCTTTTATCTTTCCTGCCAATATATCTGAACTCATGAGACTGGTGTCTTAATATCAACCAGCTGCTTTTCAAAACAACATTTTACATTGAAGATAAAACTAAAATGCTCAGAGAGTTGTAAATTTTACTTCTCTGTAGCTCTCATCAGTTAGGTATGTGTTAAACAAAGGAAAGGAAAGGGGCTAAATAAAGTCACTGCAAAGGAAGAGTTGCCTAGTATGGGGTTTCTGAATGAAAATGATCTCCAGGCTTATCAACTGAGATTTCAGGATTCTCACTCAAGTACATAACATTAACTCTGAAATCACATACCACTCATCAGATGAGCACATATGACAGAGCTGTTCTGTGTTTACCTTTGAACCACTCTGTAATACTGTAAAAACTCAAGTTCAGGTTTGTATAATTTTAATCTCGGAGGAAAACAATATATATTAAATCTCTTATGAATCATCTTTATGACAAGTCAAGTGTTTTCTGATGCATCTTGACTTTGCATTGGGTATAATTTCTTTCTATGGTATGAATTTTTTCTTTTCCATGCAATTTTCTCTTTATTTCTTTGCTTTTTCCTTCTTTCTTTTTTTAGGCAGGGTCTCACTATGTAGCCTTGGCTAGAATTCACTTAGGCTAGCCTCAAACTCAGAGAAATCTGTCTGCCTCTTCCTCTTGAGTGCTGGAGTTAAAGGCATGTACAGGATGATCCTCCAGTAATTTACAACATGACCTCTAAATTTAGGGGTTGTAATTTTGGTATGCACTTTCTAAACAATTACACAATATTTTCCTATGTATTCTTTGGTACATAAAATTGTAGAGGCCAGGAAATGGTGGTGCATACCTTTAATCCCAGCACCCAGGAGGCAGAGACAGGTGGATCTCTGAGTTTGAGGCCAGCCTGGTCTACATAGTGAGTTCCAGGACAGCCAGGGGTATACAGAGAAACCCTGTCTCAAAAAAAAAAAAAAAAAAAAAAAAAAAATTGTAGAAAAGTCTATTGAATGCTCAGAAGTTTGAGGGTCAAGTAGAAAAAAATGCTGAAATTAATTGGATCCTTGACTTTCTGCACCTTGTACTCCTCAGATGTCTGTACTGGTCATAGTTTTTAAGCTGTTTCATTTAAGCCCAATTTACAGATGATAACATGACTGAACCAGTAAATATTAATTTAAGTTATTCCAGGTAGTAAATATCACTAATGGAAAACAATAAAAATTACTGTCATGTATAATAAAACATGAATTATGCAAATAATTTTCATTAATGGAATAATTCTTACCTCTCCAGGGATGTAAGTAAGGAAAATCATGCATATGTGGGGGGAGGGGAGTCACAAGTTAAAACATTTAAACAAAAAGCATCTGTGGTTCAGAAGCACACAGACTTGTAAGATGTGAGTCAAACAGTATGTTGCTTCTTCAGCTGATCCTGTTTCCTCAGACTGGAAGCTTCTAAGTCCTCATCCAGATGGATCTCAGCTGAACTGCTGCTCAAAAGCCTAAAAGCCTAACCAGGCTCTACTTCCTCATGCCTTAAATACCTTTCTGCTTCCTGCCATCATTTCCTGAGGATTAAAGGCGTGAGTCACCATGCCTGGCTGTTTCCAGTGTGGCTTTAAACTCACAGAGATCCAGGCAGATCTCTGCCTCTGGAATGCTAGGATTAAAGGCGTGTGTGCCACCATTTTCTGGCCTCTATATCTAGTGGCTGTTCTGTTCTCTGACCCCAGATAAGTTTATTAGGGTGCACAATATTTTGGGGGACACAATATCACCATAAAGGGATGAAGGCTAAATGATCTAATTAATCATGATTTAAAAAAAAAAAAAAAAAAGAAAGAAAGAAAAGAAAAAAAAAGGAAGAAAGAATTGGGTTTGGAGATTCCAGACAGGGGAACAAAAGAGTTTCTAGGGGTAGTTATTCTAGAAGTCATGGAGCCCTCTTGCCCTTCTCTGACACATCTTTTCCTCTGCAATTCAAATTCATGATTTATAGTTGGTGGGTCAAAAGCACAGGTAAAATAGCTGAGCTTAGGACTGACATCTAAAAGGGAAAGTTGTGGAGATCTACCTAGCTGTGGAGATTTGAATTGAACTAAATAGCAGACACCCACTGGTGTCTGCTGCAGATCTGACAGATTTCTGTGTGCGGGAAATTGACATTTTCTCACAGAAGTCTTCTGTGTTGATTGTCAAGTGAGATTAGAGGATAACAGGAGTTTATTTATTCCTGTTAACTCAGAGACAATGAAAGCCACTTTGAGGGGAAAGGTTATGGACATTAAGCACTATTAAGAAAATAGCACAAAAGATTTAAATAAAACAAAGACCGACTCTTGTGAACCAGGCACATACATTTATATACATGTAGACAAAACACGCCTACACATAAAATAAAAATAAATCTTTAAAAAATATATAGTGGCTGGGCACAATTGTGCATACACCTTTAATCCCAGCACTTGTGAGGCAGATGCAAGTGAATCTCTGTAAGTTTGAGGCCAGTCTGTTCTACATAGTTTCAGGAGAGATATTCACTATGAGACAGAGACAGAGATGGAGAGACAGAGACTTTAGTGACCTTATATATCAGAAAGGAAAATAAATTAAATAACAATGAGTTTGACATCTTTTTTTTTTTTTTTTTTTTTTTTAATTTCAACAACATTGGCCCATGGATAATTGTATACAGTGGACCATACAGCACCCTTGGGACTGCATTAGACAGTAGGTGTCAGACTTATCCCATACCAAAGGATCAGAAGATCTCCAAGTGATTCATGGGCCTACAAAGATGTATTGCTTGCTATGTTAAAGAAGAAATGCATCTGATCCCTTAGGAGAGTAAATTTAGGGATAAAATATTACCACTAGGGAGGCAAGGCAGGAGGATCATCACAAGCTTGAGACTAGCCAGGGATACATAGATATTCCCTGAAAAAAAGAAAGAAAGAATACCCCACACGTATATGAACTTCAGTGTTCTGAAGCCAAGCATTCTGAAAATTAAATTACTTTTTTGTTTGCTGGAGATTTACTCAATGCCTTTGCATGATAAGCATGGGAAGAACCTAATTTTTAATTTAACCATCATATGTTATATTGGCTTCTTGTCATTAAAAAGGGCAAAGTGTATCCTGAAAAGGGCAAAGTATATCCTGAAAGACTATCAATGCAATTTATATTTTAGCTCAGAGGCAATTAAGAGTTATTCTTCCAATACCATTCTTGGAAACTTTTTCTAAAAGTGTACTACTGTATACATTGCACTGTTAGAAGACAAATAATTTTCCCAAAGTATTTTTAAATTGAATATTCTGATAGACCACTGTAGTGTTACATATGAACAAGAAAAATGACAAAACAAATTATTTTTAGATTTTTAAGTCACTATTGAATATTTGTGAGGACAATGACCAGGTAATTGCTTAGCTTTAAAAGACCCATTAACTGATAGCTATACAGTCTGTATAGTATATTAATATTTCTAGAAATCCATTATGAATTTTTATGGAGTGATGTTATAAACAATAACAAAAAAGGCAATGAAAATCTACTTTGTTTTACTTTCTTTGGAAGTTATTTCTACACAATCCTTTTACAGTAATAAAACCACTGATAGTATTCCTTAGTAACATTGTTTATCAATGTAATTTAAAGAAATACAATCAATAGATAAATCAAGTGTTATTACTAGATGTCCTATAAATACAAGATTTGAGATTCAAATAAAGGAATTACAGGTACTTAAAACAGATAATAAGGTAATATTTAAAAGCTTCAAAATTTATTTGCTTTTTCTACTTTTAACTCTGACATAGTCCCCTCCCCCTTTTTCTGCTGATGGGTAAGTAAATAAAAATATGATTGACAGAGAAAATGTAAAACCCTAAGCAACGCTCTATTACTTCAGAATGGCTATACTAATGATATAGAAGATCATTAAAATGTATAGGATTTGGGACTGGGCAAGTATTTGAGTGACTTCCTCAATCTAGCTGTGTGATGTTTTTACTTGAGTTCATTAGAATAAAATGATTTTATTTAAAAATAAATAAATAAAAATAATAAATAATAAGTAAATATATAATAATTATAATAATAAATAAAAATAAAAATTTATATAAATAAAAAGACTGAGCTTTTTATAAGTGAAGAATATATTTCTACTTAATAGCCCAAACCTGATGATTAATTTAAAATGAAACATGAAATACGGGTCTTGCATTTATTAGGGATGATGTCAGAGCTCTTTTATTTTTTATTATTGAACTTTCTTTTTTATTTGTTCTTTGTGGCTTTTACATCATGCATATCGATCCCATTCATTTCCCATCCCTTTGCAACCTCCCCCCTCCACAATTAAAATAAAATAAAATTTAAGAGAAAGAAAAAGGAAAAAAATCTCGTTGTGGAAGCTTTAGTGTGACATAATGAATCACACAGCAAACACTTTTATCCATATATCTTTATGTAATATAAAAGACCATGGCCCTGGGTGGCAATGAAGCCACCCACCTCAGCCTGCTTTTCACCACATTCGCCTATTCAGATATACCTTGGAACTGTTTTAAAGTAACAAGAAAAAAAATGAAATTACCTAATTCCTATCAGAAATGTCAAAGCACTAATCTGATCCATGTCCTAAAATTTTTTCCAAATCTTATATGTAAATTTGCTACATTTAATTTTGATACTTTGAATCCCTATTTTCACCTATGGACATACCATCCTGAATACCTTTGTCTCTTCTAAACCTTATTTCTTTTTAAATATATGTACTTGTAATTTTTCCTGTTCTAATCCCCCTTTGTTTTCATTTTTATAGAGGTAGAACACAGATAAAAGATAATAGAGTGCCCTGTGAATTTTAGCCCTTCAGCTACTTTTAATTCATTCATTAGTCTGTAGGACAAAAGAAACATTTAGGAGAACAGAAGAGAGAAATCAAATGGTGATGGTCTCAATCACCCTGGTTAACATTAACAACTTTATAAAGAAATCAGGCCCCTACATAGCTTCTTACCACTAGCCAAGTTATATAAATGTAAGCTTTTAATCATAAAATTTTAGTGACTTTAAAGTGAAAATATCACACCGAAATATTTCAAATATAATTTTGGCAACTTTCAAACTTAGGAAATAGGATTTACCTAGAGCAGGAAAAACTTCATAATGACCTTGCTTCAATAAGAAACTAAAGCTTCAAACTCCATAGAAAACTTTCCTGTAGCCATAATAGCTGCTAAAAAAGCAACTTCACACAGATCCTTATGCTGCACTGATGTTAAAAACAGCTGACCATGTTTTAGCAAAGAAATGCAATTTGTAGGGCACATGACTGCAGGCATACTTTAAAAAGGACGGTGCTCAAGGCAGAGGACAAACCAGTTGCACAAAGGCATGCTGAAGATCATGGCTAACTCAGAATACTTACCCTTTCTTCCTGTACTCAAGATATCTGAGTATGATGAGACAAACTACAACAATGCCAACAACTACAAGAAAAGGAAAATGAATAGAATGTAACTCTTGGAATGATTGCCAAGATTCAAAATCTAAGCAGAAGAAATAAATCAGTCATATTTCAGTGGTAACCAGTTAAGCATTTAGATTCCATCTGCACTCTTTATTCTCTAAATACAGTTCCCTGGAATCACAGTCTATAGTAAGACAGAGGAGAGTCCTGGCTGAATTTAAAGAAATTATCAAAAGCATACTTGGGATGAACATTCATAGTACATCATCTTAAGAAGGCTTGCATTGCTTACAGGCTACTTCTAAGTAGACATACAGAATATGAAATAATATAAATTAACAGAGGGTAATACATAAAAGACCACGTTTTCTAAGTTTGTTCATCTCAAGTTTAAAAACTTTTAAAAATGTACTGTTTTACAGTAACAATTGGATTTAAGCAGTGAAAAGTTTGGGATACGTACTTGAAGTAATAGCAATCAGAGCAATAATCCATGCATCTAAGGAGAAAACAGAGAAGCCAAGCATTTAGAAGTCTCTAGGTTAGTTCAGCTAGTCCACACTTAGGAGTTTATTTATCTACTTTGAACACAATCATTAACATAACTAAGTCATTTTGATCATAGAACACTTGTAAACCTGTTTCTAGGTTTGGGGTTCAACTTGTGAACTTCAATTTTCAGTGTTATTTTTTTTCTAACCCCATCAGGTTATTTAGTAAAGGTTATTACAGAATTAGAATTCATCATATAGAGGAAAACCATTACACAATATACTATCTTCTTATATTTGGTTTAGTTCAGTATGCATTCTATAATGTGTTATAATTTTTAAAAAAATCAATTTCCCCAAAAAGTATATCTGTAGAATGTCATAAGTTTCAATAATTTAAACAAATCTATTTGTAGTTCTTACAAATAATATTCTGCCTTATCAGGGTCCTCCCTGTCTTCCTAATGCACTCACAACCACCCCCCAAATGAAGACATAATCCTAAATACCAGACCTTCTCTTTGCAAAGTGTAACCTAAAAGGTGGAATTCAGTAGCAGAGCATTTATGTGACATGCTCAAGAAATACCAGCATACATTGATGAGCAGTATAGAGGAATTTAAACAAGCATAGTTGACTAACTGGGTGTTCTGGTTTACTCTGGCCAAAAGCAACATGGGGAGGAATTTGTCTGGTTTATACTTCGCTGAGGGAAGTCAGGGCAGGAACTCAAGGCAGAACTTGAGGGCAGGCCTGCCAGCTATTCCATGCAGCATTACCTTTAACTAGGGAAATCACTCACCACTAAGGAATTACAGCAGAAACCATGAAGACTACTGCTAGATTGATAGCAGGTTCATGCTTACCTAGCTTAAGAAAGCTATATATACAGTGCAGAACTACCTGCCCAGGGAATGGTGCTGTCCACAGTGGGCTGAGCTCTCCTACATAAGTCAACAATTAAGACAATCCTCTTTCCCCATGCCTACAGGCCAATCTCATCTGGGAAATCCCTAAATTGATACTGCCTTTTCAGATGACTCTAGGCTGTAGCAAATTAACAGTTAATGCTAACTAGGTCACCAGAGAACATTAAATTCTACAAATTCCTAAATTTTGAAAGTATTTATGTCTAATAATGTATTTGTTTCTAAAGTTCCATACTTTTAATTAAGTTGCTGTCAGTCAAAGCATAAAGTGTTAGTCTCAATTCTGTGTGGGGAACTTGCCCCCACCTTTTCCCCCAGGGTACCCATGAGGAGTGAGGGATAAGAGATTTAGACAAAAATATAGAGGGGAGAGAGAGATTATGTTTCTACATAGGATAGTCTCAGGAGGGCCTGGATCCTAATCCACCAGCCCCTTCTGTCTCTTATAAAGGGCTTTTTAAAGGAATGCCAAGGGGTGGTGCAAAAGACCTCCCCCAGCACAGCCAAGTGCAGGCCCTTCCAAACACCTGGTAACCATGCACATGGTCAATCTATCCCCTTATACAGCCCTGCTGGGTAAAGCAAGCTCAGATCACACTAGGAAACCTCTGTGGGTTCCCACAATTCTGCTCTTCTCATTTCATACACACTTATCACATGTTTAACAATTTAAGAAAGCACTGGATTTACTGGCATAGTGACATATAATGACCACAGAACCTGAAGCTAAAGCATGTATAGACAGTTCACAAACTGTGATGGTTTGACTGAGTGATTTTCATTTTACATTGGTAATACACTGATGAATATTCAGCAGAAACCAGTGTTGAGCTTTGAATTTTGACCTTTGCCTGGGTTAGCAATATGACATGGGACTTTATCTTAGATCTTGGGCAGCAGTGGACAGCCACAGTTCCTATAGAAGTAGGATCACACAAGTGAAACCCAAACTTTGACCATCTGACCATCTGTGATAATCTTTAGGCAAATGTGCTAAGTACATTTTCAATTTACCATGGGTTTATCATACCCAATCTCCTATGCATACAGAGACACAAATGTATAAAAGAATAAGCCAAATGTGATTTTTAAAAAAAGAATCATTGGCCGGGCGTTGGTGGCGCACGCCTTTAATCCCAGCACTCGGGAGGCAGAGGCAGGCGGATCTCTGTGAGTTC